ATATACATATATATACATACACATACATACACATACATACTTATGTATGTCTTTCAAAAATAAATGAATAACTGGATCTTTTGTCCCTGTCTTAAAGATTAGAGCATGTTGTTATGCAGAGTTTACACCACAGCAAATATTAATTCGTGAATATTCAAATAAGTGCAAGCCATATTTGTCATCGTCCAAAGCTTACAATGTATGTGTCGTAACTTTAACAATGTAGTTTAAACTTCAGCAAAGTTCAGTCAGATCATCTGGACGGTTTCTTTTTTCTTGAGACGTTTCGTCCTTCATCCAAAGGACTTCATCAGTCCAAGGAGCCACAAACAAACTCAGTCCCACAAGCAGCACACTCCCATAGTGGGCCAGTTTGCTGGTGATAAGATGGTTTCTGGGGCCCGCCCTCTCCCTCGTCAACTCCTCTGCGGCAGCCACAGCCAAAGTGGTTTTTGTGATAGAGCATGTTGTGAGTCTCAGTTGTGAAGTGGGAAAAGTTTCTTTTTTTGGCTGCAGACCAGTTACGTGTTCAGTCTTGAGACTTGAGATCGGATTGGTGTCTCAGATGCTTTTGATGTGCATGTGTGTGTTAGCAAAACATCTCACATGACAGATTTTAACGAAACTCGCAGATTGTAATCCTTGGATGTGCAGCTACAACTTTTCAAGTCGACTCCAGCGGCGATGGAGACGTCAGTAACACGAAAAGGGCTAAAACTGTACAATTTACTGAAATTAAGCTGACATTTGGTGTGGTAGTAGCTGAGAGTCGCCCCTAACACATACCCCAAGCACTAACAAATTGTCCATCGTATTATTTTCAAGATTAACCTGAACGCTGATAACTGTTAAATGTTCTAATGTCAAATAATCTCTGATTGAAACTCTGGCGTGCGATCCTTCAAAAGCTGCCATGCCTTTGATTTCAGCTGCATGTTGGCTCTCACTCCTGGGAGTGCACATGCAGCCTGAGTTAACTTGTAATTTTACAGCCTCTAGGCTTTTGGTTTTGGCAGATTATGAGACATGTTGCTGTCAGTGATATGTATGATGAACCCCCCTCTGCTCGGGGTTTTGGCTCTCCTGCATCGTTAGGTAACTGGTTGTTGTGTAACCAGCTGCTGCAGAGCCAGCAGTGGTGAAAGTTATTTTGCACATGCAGCTGGTGTTTAAATGGTGGTTTTCTTTGTATAGGATGAGAGTCTCTCATCACTGGTCCTCTGTTTCTCGTCCTCCAGGAGCACGCGTTTGAGAGCAGCCAGAAGTATAAAGAGGGCAAGTTCATCATCGAGCTGGCACACATGATCAAGGACAATGGCTGGGACTGAGGAGCCGAGGGACAACTGCACTGAAGGACAGGAGGAGGCCGAGCCGCTCGGGCGGGAATGTGTGTGTGTGGGAGTGTGTGACTTTGGTTTGGCTGATTTATACCATTAACCTCTGTAACTTACTGCTCATCCCGTCTCACCACACCCCTCGATGTTCACACATGCACATGGTAAACTCCCAGACCTCCCAGTTTGGCGGAGAGACAGACATTGCAGGCTTGTTTGCAGCTAGCAGGACTAGACTGGCCAGCAACAGTACGCAGGAGACAGGCCGTCTCATTTTTTGAGTTTTGTTAAAACATTAGCTGCTGCCATCAGCTCTACAGGGATTTGGACGTGTGATTTGATTCTCCCTCGTCTAATATTAACTTGAACGCCAGTCGTCACTGGAAATCTAAGCAGGATGATACCAGCAGGCCCAGCATGGCGAGCTCCACCGGCCTCGGTGCTGACGGGCGTTCGCTCTGTCCCCTCGGCATGAATGAGATCACCTTAAGATGATTACAGCAAATCTAGCTGATTGGGGACGGGCCAGCTGGACCAGTGATGAGGCCTGGCGCCGAGGCTTGGCTCCGAGGCCCGAGCGCATGTGCGTTGCGCTGCAGCAGGGCTCGAAGCGACGGGGAGGGGGATGATCCCGATCCGGTTATGTTGTTGCTTTGATGGCTTCTGGCTTGGATCCACCAGCCTTGCTCGTGATGCAGCCCAGGATGATGAGGGCGGGGCCGAGAGGGAAGAAGCCCCACACATGGAGCGCCACCAGTTCGAAAACCCAATAAGAATTAGCCCTTGTGTCTGTAGAAGAGACCCCGCTGGGTTCATTCCTTCTTCTCTTGAGTCGTGTAAAGCGATCTGCTGATGACGCGCCCCCCCTCCCCCCCACCCCACGTGGTGTTAGCAGATCCTCGTCACAGCCACATACGTAGGTTTACGTAACACAAGCGTGTCTCAGGACAACAAGTCTGGGTTTCCCAAAGCTCTGTGAACACTGGACATCTCTCAGTGCTACAGGGCAAAAAGCTGAAGTGTCTAAGCTCTGCACAGTTTAGTTCTGAAGATCAGGATGAAACATTTATCAAAGGTAAATTCTACCTTTTATCAAACACGAGCACGGACGGTGTGCAGCATAAAACCTGCTGTTCTTGGCTTTGTTTCAGTCTCCGTGTAGTTTTACTTACGGTCCCTGACAAAAGCGCACGCTGAAGCAAAGTGCTCGACTCTCCTTCACGTTCCACATTTGATCAACTTTATCTCTCCGTCTTTACTCGATGTGCATTCAGAGATTTAAGTGGATATTGTTCGAGTTCCCCTTAAAGCATTGCTCAGGTACTTTGTTGCTAACTTTTCTTTGCTAAGGCCAGGATCCTGCTAAATGTGTTGGATGTTTTGTTATTTTTTTAAACGAGGACTATCACAGCTGGCAGCATCCAAATCTAATGTAACACTAACACATGCATGGTTCAGAACGGACTGGTTTGGTGCTCCGTCCTCGTCACAGTTTTTGTGAAAGGAACTTTGTGAATTTCTGGTACTGTGATGCTAAATCTAATCAGCTTCATTTTGCTCATTCGAGCTGTGAAATCAATTTGCAGTGGAGGGAAAGAGCAAATTCAAAGTGATCCTGGTTTAGAAAAGTAAAAATCTGTAAGTTTTCCCGCAAACTTTGCTCCAGAGGCTGCCCTGATCCCTCGTCGGTTACGACCGACCCTAAACTGTAACTCCTCCGTAACTCGCAGTAACTGATGGTTTAATTGGAGGCTGCAACATGAAAACCAGCACAACCAAAGACCACGCCCGTCAACAATAAATTGACCAAACAAAAGTTTTAATTTTGCTTGATCAAAGCGTTGCAAAATAAGAGGGTGTAGACGAAAGCCAAGTCTGTGGATAGCCTTTCTCTGTGATATATATAAATATATGATACATTATGATTTTGTAAAAAAAACAGATCTTAATATATGCATTTCTATTTACTCTTTTCATCATGAGGATTACCTTTCATGTCAACTTCTGTGTTGCAGATTGTAAATAGTGTTAATGTATTGTGTTTTATCTTTGATCCATGTGATGATGAATGAATATGATTTAAGCCATGTCATGCTTTCTCTCTGGTACCCCGCAGTGGCTGTACAATACTACTTTTTTACTGAAAATGTTTCGATTTTAACGTCTTTTGTAAACGAGGATGCTGATGTTGACTATATCATTGGATCTTCATCTAATAAAATGCACCTTAATATCTGGATGGAATGCAGTGTTTTCTAATGGATTGTTGTAAATTATTGTCAATTATTTCAATTTTCAAACTTATTTCCATAGTTAACAAAAGAGGGCTGATAAAAGTCTGGACCTAAACAGTGACTTCTGTATTACCAGCTTCAAATTTTGGATGAATGGTTAGAAAGGATGGTTGTAAATATGAAGTCATTCATTCTTTTTAGATTGTTCTGAGAGATTCAAAGCAGGTGTTTACACTGAGCTAATTAGCATGTTAGTTTAGCTTCAAGGCTGTAGCCAAAAAGTTAGTAAATTTTATTTTTAGCATCGTATTTATCATCAATTTTTTACAGTAGGCCGATAAGTGTCAGAATTGGTAAAATTGGCTAATTTCAAGCTTTGCTGGGATAAATTACAGCTGCTTTTTATTTATTTTATTTACAGTCGATTTGAAGCTAAATTATACAAATTTTTAAATTCAGCTTGCACTTTTTAAATTATGTGACCTTTCAAATTTAAGGCATTTTTTCTATTAAATACAGTTTAAAAAGGTCCCGCTGAACAAAAAAAGATACACAAAACCAGCTTTAGCCAAAGCTAACTTTCCAGCTAACACCTTTGACCCTGTCCCCATTTATCCACACACCATTTATATATTTATGTGATAAATTAATAAACTCAACAGACAGAGAGCTAAATGTTGCATAAATATGCAATGTGGTAACTATCATGTGAGATCATCATACGTAAAACTAGAGAAATTACATTTCCTGCAAAAATGCAGTGTGAATGCTTATTGCTAATTAACTTACTGGAAAACAGCTGAAATGTAGCTAAAACATGCTGAAATGTGGCTAAAAACATGCTGAAATGTGGCTAAAAACATGCTGAAATGTAGCTAAAACATGCTGAAATGTAGCTAAAACATGCTGAAATGTGGCTAAAACATGCTGAAATGTGGCTAAAACATGCTGAAATGTAGCTAAAACATGCTGAAATGTGGCTAAAACATGCTGAAATGTGGCTAAAAGGAAGAATGTGTCTAAGCTAGCAGAAGAAAGCAGAAGAACACAAATTTGCTGAATTTGGTTTAAATAAGCAGAAATTAGTACAAAAATTGGGAAATTAGATCTAAAAGTTGAAATTAGCAAAAAACAAAAAAAAAAAAACTGAACAGTAGCTGCAAATGTAGAACAAGCTTAAATTACCAGAAAGACATGGAGAGCACAATTGCGCCAAATTAGGCTGACAGAAACAGAAATTAGCACAAAAAGTGGAAATTATCTAAAAAAGCAGAAATTAGTACACACACACACATTCACAGGTTTGTTTTGCTATCTTTATGGGGCCTTTCCATTGACTTCCATTCATTTTTCATTAATTTCTATGGCCTAACCTTGACCTTTACCCTAAACCTAACACATCCTCAATTCACACCTTAGTCCTAAACCTAACCATTAACCCACCAACGAAACTTCTTCTTATGGGGCCCGGGCTTTGGGCCCCATAAGGAGAAGTTGGTCCTCACAGTGTAGTATAAGTTGAAACAATGGGCCTTACAAAGTAGCATAAACAAGCACACACACACAAACAAAACAAAAACTGAAAAGAAGCTAAAAAAACAGAAAGAAGTTTAAGTTAGCAGAAGAAAGTGGAGAGAGCACATTTTTGCTGAATTAGGCTGAAAAAAGCTTAAATGAGTGCAAAAACTGAAATTAGCTGAAAAAGCTAAAATAAAATAGCTAAATAGCAGCTGACATAACTGAAACTCGCATAACTAAGCTGAAAGGAGCATAAGCTGAAATTAGCAGAAAGATGTTAGAAGAAGCAAAAAAAAGTTGTAGTTAGCAGAACGAATCTAAAGGATTACAAAACAGCTGAAAAACAGCTCAGCGTAGCTAAAAGTAGCTGAAAAAAGTTTAAATTTGCACAAAGAAGCTGAAGCAGAACAAAATGTGAAAGGAGCAGTAAAAGGTAAAAGGTCGTAAACAGATCTAAAGATGTGAAGGATGTAAAATGAGCTCAATTCATTTTCTATGAGATAAAAACTGTCGGAAAAGGCTAAATATTTTAAAAAGCTAAAGTTGTACCAATACCAAAAGTCACAGCAGGATTGTCCTGAAAGAGCTGAATGTTTTGATGTATGATGAAATAACACAAAAAATGTTGAACGAGAAAGATGCTGAAAACGTACGGAAGAAAAACGGATCAGTCTGAATGTTTCATAAACAATCAGAGATTCAGTTTCTTTATTGTCATTCGCACCTCATGTGGTACATGAGGTGGAACGAACACTGGGTCCCAGTTACATCCAACAATAAAATGTAAAAGAAAAACAGTAATAACATCTAAGATATGAACTAAGAAATACAGCTACAAATATGCTAAGCACTAACAGCATGAAACAATAAACACAATACGCCGAAACAGCAGCACGATCAGCAGCTAAGATTATAAAATTATTGAGTGAAGGCAGTTGTAATAATAGTGTATGTGATTCAAAAAGTGAGTCATCAAGTGCTGTTTGACTTGCACAGGTTTTATTTTGTGCTTTTTTCAAATCAGCTTATTTATCAGAACATAGAGATTTTCTTTAACAATAAAAATGAATCAAATCTGCTTTAGCCTGAGCTAACTCATTAGCTACCAGTAAGCTGGCTTTAATTTTTACCTTATGTTTTGAAATGTATCTGGTGGATCAGAGGGCTCTCACACAAAAATGCAGTGATGTTGTGCTATTTTTAAACCAAATATGTGACATCGTACAGTATTTAGGTGAGGTTGTCAGCTAGGAGTATCCACTGGAAGCTATGGAACAAAGGCTACACCACACTTTCTTCCAAGCCACTAAACTTATTTTTGTAAAGCATAATGCCTTTGGCCTACAGTTTGTGCAATGCTTACAATAATCCTATTTGATCAAAGCACTCTATTAATGACAGAAATGATGAGAAAATCACTAATTCACACTCGTTTTTAAGGACATTTGAATGAATGCGCTCCTTTTATGAACAAAGAAGGCACAGACCGTTCTGAGGTTGACCGAGGAGTGATCTGGTGTAGATATTTTATTGTCCCCATGGTAACGGGCATCGTCTGTTACTAATGTGAGACTGGAAAAACAACAGCAGCAGCTCGCTTTCATCCCACCGGTGTCTATGACTAACACCAAAAATATCACGAGGATGATGCCTGATGTTTCCAGAGAGAATCTGAAGTGTCACATACAAGCTCTCCTCCCTGTCTATTCCCAGTTCTACTCAGATTCATCTTCCATTGACGGCTCATCTCTCTTTCATCCTCATTAATTTTATTTGTAGAGTTGCTTCCAACGAGCCTCCTGGGCTGATTTCTGCCT